TTGTTATAATCTATGTGCTATTCCAGATTACAACAATTTATTTTAGTATCAAATCCTATCAAGATCAGTGCAGCAGTTTTTGCGAATAAACAGACAGATAGGTAAGTAATAACTTTTATAACATATTTAACTCGTCGAGTACCGGTTTTGTAGACACAATTATAGAACAATAGGTTGCGGTCACCGGTGACCGCTTGGTGTTTGACAGTTTAATGGATATTTTAGATTGCAATAAAAGTGAGACTGTTGACTTTAATGTGAATAATCTGTGCTGAGTTAGGACAGCTTGACATTCTATGGGGACAACTTAATGTCAAGTTCTCAAACAATAAATAACATGAATCTATGCGTGACTTAAAGATCACTCAATTTGTGCTGCGCATTAATATTCATCAGAGCAAATTACTTTTAATTACAGTTGAAATGTAGTGATTAGTGTTACTACGAGATTATTTAGGCTGTAATAATTTTATCTTAAGCTTGATTGACGTGTGTACAGCTGTCGGGGTTCGATTATATTATATAGGTAAAGCTCAATCGAGATACACATTTGTTATTTGTATTTCTTAACGTATTCTATCTTCTACCAAAACCAATGCAACAGAGGTTTCACTCACGTCCTCGATATTAAACTCAATATAATACCAAAAGCATAATACACGAACATAACAATGCCAATAAAATAACTTTAAAAGACGTAACAATCTAGGTGATTGCTCATAAAGCACGACTGGCTCTATAAAATCATGTAAAGGTGCTTAGCATTAAACTCGGCAAACACAAATTACTATGCTTAACTAAATTCATGTCGAAATAGCTTAACAACAATGATCTAGAGGTACTTACTTTGTTTATAGTCTAAACCTTTACTCATAAAGAAATCTTGTAATGCATACTATACTAGTTGTATCCGATGTTAGCCGAATATAGTTTTTTTCTATTTTCTGTAGATATGAAAGTGAATCTGTAGCTAACTACATTTTTTATATTAGTTTACCTAATTGGCGGAATATAAAACGGAACGCGTCAAAAATGTTCAACATATGTGCTTAGTTACGCATAAAGCTGAAGTTGCCTCGATATAACTTTGAGCAATGAAACACACGTTAAACGAATATCAAATAAACTTGACAGAGAGGTACTAATTTAAATGCCTTTTACACAGATTAATCCGACACGATCTCAACAAAATTTAGATGAACTCAAATAGTGAGTCAATCGATTTTCATTTAGCAATTACCTATGAAGCTCAACCAGCACAAGTTGTCTAGATCATGCATCATGACGTAAGCAAGATTGATGACACTGGTCTATTTCACAAGTCATGTTACGTACAGTCCCTCGATAAATGTTCTAGTTTTACGTAAGTATTTAGTCTTTAAGTAATTGTTGGCATGTTCACCGGCCTCTCGAATCTCGAGGCAACTGAGAGCCAACGGCGTGATATGTCATGAATACTATTGTAGCCGTCGAGGTTGAAATCAATTCAATTTACTTAACTATTTCTACTGTATTGAACTGTACTGTATTATGGAAAATAAATCAATTTAATAACGTCACAATCAGAGCCACGCGTGCGTAATATATCTATGGCGCAATAAAAGAAAGTTGTTCTTGTTCTCACCTGAAGAACAGGACTGACGCCTGGGGGCAAACTGCGTGGTATCCAAGCCAAAGTTGCAGGTACACCTGCCCTCAATCGGGGTATTCCCAAGTAGAGCCTGTCCCAGCCAATCTCAAGACCCGTGGGAACGGTGTTCTCTGGTTGGAACTTCTCCAAGAGCACTGGATCGGGGGGAAAATCAAACTGCATGAAGCTCCATTGGTTGACTACTTCCAGTGTAGCACTTGCAGTAGCTACGTAAGCCAGTAGAAGTACGACGTGTCTCCTCATTGTGATTGATCTGAAACAATAGTGGTCATTATGAGTCCACAATTTTTTTGTACAAAAGAATGGACGACCTTGAACTACACCACGGTGCGGTGGGTTTAGAGTAATCACGTACAATTTGACTACAATTATTTCCAAATTCACCAATACGTATTCGATTCCGTAACAAATTCAATCAAGTATAAATAATACAAGTTTAAGACTTCCTACTTCATTTAATTCCAGTCACGTAACATGGAGAATTTGAGAGTCAAACACAATTAACCAAAAATTGCACCAGTGCGAAATGCAATGGCGGAACAGCGTCAACTTTGACATTGGATAGTATGACAACTTTTTACTTTTGGGATTGCACAAATGAACGATGAGCTGACATGTAGCTTTTCATACATGTACATCGGTCATTATTTTGATATGTCTTCTACACTATCCATTTAACATTATTAATAATAGTACATTACCTTCTTTAATCAAATAATAATAATCATCTTTCAAAAGTAATAAACCACTCACAATTCAGAATTAAACAAAACCCTCGTGTTCACATTGCGGAACCTTATTCTGACCCCGACACAAACTTGCCCGGTTTTTTAACCAACGCACTGACCTGTGACCCGTTGCCCGACTTTTCTTTAACCAATGAATATATTAAATACTTGATAAATATAAATAAACTAAAACATTGACGTTTAACAAGACGTCTTTATTAAATTACTACTGTCTTTTATTTGCATGACTTAAGTTAAACGTGATTAGACGTGCATGTCAAAAACAAATGCCTGGTAATGACCTAGCATGGCACTTGGCCGACTTTTACTTATAGTTCAAGGACGCTTCCGTAGAGATGACTTGCACTAAACACATACTGCTTGAGTTACCTAACTTTCATTCTACGACTGCATAACAATATATGTATGCATTTGATTCCATCGTTTAGAAGGCCTGCTTTACCTTAACCTGAAATGGGTCTAATATTTATTATGTTGATTTTTGTATCTTGATATGAAAGAAGAGGCTAAGCCGAAGGGCTTGTATGACCGACGCCGTCGTTAGCTTAAGTCCGCTTTGACTCGAAAACGTGTCTCTATTGACTCAGAAAATAGCAACAAAAAGTTAGTTCAGTGATCCATAACGATAGAGTCTAAGTTACGTAAAATATGTAAGTTGCATTAAAATATTTAAACTAAATAATATGTATTTATGTTAGTTTTATGGTAACGTCTTTGCGTGAATGCTTGCACAAATTATTGAAATTATTTTGATAAATTCTTAAAGTTATTTAAATAATTATGTTAACAAATTTTGAAATAGTGCATTAATACTTTGGAATAACGTTTTATTTATTAAAATTAATATAATTTTCATAGCTAACTCGATATTTACCTACTTAGTATGTTGAAAATTAGTAGTCAATAAAAAGCTAATGCTAAATTTTGCAATGTAACTAAATACTTAGCAATAATAAATTGATGCCTGATTACCTAGAGAATAAAATTATGTACCTAATCTTCTATTGAGTCCGTCCTTTTATCTGGAAGAAAATCATCTTGTGCGAAAACATCGTTTAGTCATAAATTCAGTATACGTATATTAATTGTTTGGTAAAGTAATGAACAAAATAAATAAATACAAGTAATAACGGTAACCAAGATAAAATCCCTATTTAATATGTATGAGATAATAAAATAAATAAAGAAGTATTCCAATGTAGTAATTATATAATGCTATGTAATGAATACTAGAAATTCGTACACATTGAAACTAGACCATCAACTCTCACTGATCAAAAACTAGTACTCGACATTTTTTGTTGCGAATGTTACACAACTTGAATCAACCTTAATGATGAATTAGTTCATAAGTTCGTGTACATAGAAGCATGTAAATAAATAGACACGATATATAATAGCTGATATCCACGTCATTCTTTGCCAAAGATACGAAAATAAAAACATGAATTAATGAACACTAGGAGCTTTTAAAATGCAGCAGCGCCATCTATGATAACCGTGTACTTTAGTGGTAATTTCTCTAATTTCTGTCACGTGTCATTTGTGGTAATAAGTTATTTTCAACCAAAGTCGGTCTAAATAGATTTATTTTCTTCCGAGTCTTTCATCTTAAGAAATAAAGATAAATTAGAATAAACATTTACAATCATTCGCTGCAAAAAGTACTTAAATTACCTACTCTCAGAATCTTTTATCACCCGTTCATAAATGTTTTCACTGTTCTAAGATTTATATATTAAGAACAAACAATTCACATTTCTAAATAGTAGCGCCTGTGCACAATGTAAGTATGGATAGTGCGGATTATATAACGGTAATGATAACGAGTTTCTAATAACAAAAGTCGGGCCTGTCATTCATAGGCGTTGAACGCTGACGGTCTATCTAGCATGTGGGATAATGTGGGGCGACCGTGGACCGGTTTATTGAAGCCAATACTTATACCTCATTAGACATAACCACCTATTCATACAGATACGGTAATTAATCAAATTCGCTGTCAAATCGTATCCCAAGCGATTTGTTTGATTTATATTGCATTGAATGAAGTTATGAATTATTATTAGCAAAATATATTTTTTTAAATCGACAGACTGTAGCGTCTACCCACTCTTCGGGACTTGTTATGCCAATTAACGATTTCCTGGGTAATGCTTCGAAATAACAACAATTCGAGGATGTTGGTTAAGTTTTCATGAACCGCACCTTGAATTATTTACCCTTCAAATAATAATGTTACCAGTCACAGAAAGAGTTATTACACAAAAGTGACTGTCTTCACCCCTGATTGTTGCGTAGACCATTGTTCTCGTATTATGTAGTTATCATGTTAAGAATAAAGCATTAAATCAAATTAAGTGCAATTTTCATGTCAGTAAGCCACTCAAAATGTCAGCTGGTGAACGGATTTGAGGAAATAATACAGTATGGTGTTGACATCTTCTTAGAACAGACCTGAAATATGTAGATCTTTGCCCGTTTATTTATAAACCATACTTTATATACTTTACGATACTGATTCAAGTAACGTAAGCAGTTATGAAAGACAAATTAATTTTAGAAACTAGGTTGCACTTGTTTTGCATTAATACTTGTTAACATTTAGAAAGATTAAGAATTAATTAAACATTGCAATGAGTTGGAATATTCCTTGCTGACAGGCGTAACAAATCAGTGAACACGGATAGTGTTGTAGCGTAACGAGGTCAAAGAAGTGTGCATGTCCGACAAATTGGAGCACCTATTACTACAATCATAGTAGTTTTTGAATGATGCCCATCCTTCGGAGACAATGGCGGCCACTGGTCTTACGACATTCACAGGAAGCAGGGCTAGGCCGAACAAAAAATTTGCTTTTTGAATGTCAAACTTACCAAGTACATACAATACGCATTTACTTTTACTAAAAAAAATGTAGGCGTTGAATACCTCATTCTTCCCTTTCGAAGTAAGTTGAAAGGGTGAATTAAACGAACAATTTTAGTAAGTATGTCAAGCTACAACTGTTGTTGAGAAAAAGGGCTATTAGGTAGGTACATAGGTGTTAAGGCTTTCAGCTATGTAGGCACTAATGGTCGATAATTTATCGTAGTGCAATATAGAGCAAATCAGTGTACCATACACGTGCCGGATTTATTGTAATATGGAACCAAGGTTGAAGTGCGTTCACCGATTAGGGAAGTGCCTCTAGCAAAAAGTCGATGGTCAATAAAGTAAAAAGTATAACCTTACCTATGTAATTAAAATAAAGTAAGGACAGGTTTATAGCCTAAATTAAAATGTTAGCAGCTAACTCATGATTAGCATCTAACATAGGTGAGTAATAATAATTAGTGAATGTAATGCATTGTTTTACCTTGTACAGTAACTGATTATGATGAATATTGCCTCTAATTTACCGAATTAAAGTTTTTGGATATTATTCATTGGTTATAAAGTAGCTGTTCATTATAAGCTACAGAAACTACAAAGTTGTAATAAAAAACCGCAATGTAGGACATATGCTAGAATACTCCATAAAATCTTATTTGTAACACTAATTAGTGCAAGAATTAATGAATACATACGACCCTATTTGACATCGTTAACCGTTTACGCCTCAATCTTTTGACATCACTATTTATCGTGTGTTTGTATAGAATCATTGATTTAGATCGTATAGAAACTGCAATTGACAAGACAAGTGTAGGTACCTATGTTTTTTTAGTTTCAGTATCTTGAATTAGTTTTCAAAACTGATTTTCTAGAGGTAGATAATTGTGAATCATGATATAGGTTATTCTGATTTTTATTGTTCCCAAATAATTTCTACTACTTAGGTATCGACAAATTTCAAGCAGAATTGCAAACATGTTCTTATGAATGATCGATTATTTTGATATTACATCGACTCTACAATCACGAAATTGCGAAACAATTGGGTTCAACATTCCTTGTGAGCCAGTCACACCTGGGCCTTTAGCCAAACACCACTTTAGCGCTTGTCTACAGAGAGAGTAGAAATCAAAATGTATGGGGATGACACTGACAAGTGTCAAAATTTACGTCAATTCCATATAATTTGGTTTTCTATTCTACATGTAGACAAGCGCTAAGTGGCATTTGGCTACAGCTGCTGGTCGTACTTGCAGCGTTTATAACTTCAAATAACTGTCATCTGAAACCTGAACTATTTCACTTAACATTATGTGACTAGAAACAAATACTATGCAAATAATTAGCAACATTACAATACATATTTAGGTAGTGTATGTCATTGCCAATGCAGTTAACTGTTAAAAAATGTTTAATTCATAACATTATCATATCTACATTAAATAATTTTCCACCGAAAATATTTGCAGATATAAATAAATATATAAAAACAACAGGAATTTAAAGTCATTCAGCGTTAACGAGAGGTCGAATGAAACCAGTTTTATTGAAAAAAATTGCAAGAGCAATTAAAGTTATTGCGATTATTACAACCGACGAAAGCAATATAGGATGTATAAACATACTT